GACGTTTGAGTTGTTTCCACTTTTCTTTGGCTATTATGAACAATGTTGCTATGAATCTTTGTGGACAAGTTTTTGTTTAACCTGTTTCCATTTCTCTTGGGTATATATCTAGAAGTGGAATTGTTGACATGGTAACTCTGTGTCTAACCTTTTGAAGAGCTGCCAGACTGTTTTCAAAAAGCAGTACGATTTTATATTCCCACCAGCAGTATATGAGGGTTTTAATTGCTCCACATTCTCACCACTACTTGCTATAATCTCTTTTTTTATTGTAGCCGTGCTGGTGGGTATGACGTGGTATCTCATTGTGTATTTCCCTGGTAATGATGTCAACCATCTCTTCATTTGTTCCCGGATCATTTATATATCTTCCTTGGAGAAATGTCTATTCAGATCCCTTGCCCACTTTTTAATTGCATTATTTGTCTTCCTTTCCTGTCTTTTAATTTGGCCTGAGCAGGATGCCGATATGCTAATGGGTGATGAGCAGGTGTGGAAGGAAGTTCAAGAATCTCTGAAGAAAATCGAGGAACTGAAGGCGCACTGGAGTATCCTTTCACCGGTGGGTTGAGCTGGACTGTTGGGATTGCTGCCTTATTGGATGGAGCCTGGTGTTGATGAGACCAAGGACAGGGTTAGCTCGCCATGAACCAGAGGGCCTCATTCTGTTCGGCAGTCACAGGCTGCATCCCTGACCCCAACCGGAAATTTGGGTAATGGCTAGGGAAGACTGTGGCCAGATCTGCATCATTAGATAATAATCAAAGTGTATGGCCCAGTAATAGTAAGTAGTAGTTTCTTTATGTGTACAAGGAAACAAATCCCTAGATTCCCTTCCTCCATAACCACTTACATCTCTAAGATAGAACAGTTTAGAATCCTTATAATTTAATCCCACTGGCCCTCAGACCTGGATGCTTCATATTAAATCAGCCATGACTACAGTGGCAGCGGAGGTTGCTGTACAATAAATTTTCTTGGCATAAACAGTAAGGACCACAAGTGGGTCAAAGTTTAGAGTAGGGAGAGACTGTTTATGATGGAGGTCACCTGGGAAGGCCCCACTGATGTTTTGCTGTGCAAAAGGTATCCTGAGTCAGGGACAGGATTTGGATAGTCAGAGGCTGAGAGGGAGGCTGTTCCCAGTAGAGGAGATCAGTTGAGCAGACATGTGACAAACGGAACCCACGAGGTAAGAAGACACCAATAGATGAAAAAGATTGCAAAAGGTCATTCAGATGCTGTGGGTAAGTTATATCCCAACACAAGGTTAAAACGAGGTGCAACTCTTGCCACAGGCACTAAGAAAGTCTGTAAATGAGGTTTCTCATCTACTGACAATGCTTTTTAAAGAATTGTAAAGGATGAGAGAGGTTGGTTGGTATTTCTGTTTTTAAAGGTGAATGAAATACATAGTTTCTGAAATCTACAGCCAAATGAGTTTGTTAGTCTTAGTAAAGAACCTAGAATTGGTTACTAAGGAACATAAAAGAAAGCTGTGATCACCAGGGTGCTGGGTGGATTTGCAAAGAGGAAGCGAATCCATAGAAACGTGGCTTGCTTTGGTAAAGTTTGTATCTAGATTTCAGAAAGGGATTTGACAAAAAGCAATCAAGGAATAGCTGTTAGCAAACCAGGCATCTTACGAAATGGTTGAAAAGTTATACTGAAACAACGATGCTAATTGGATGACTGTCACTCTGTTCCCGTCTCAGCCTCTTCAACCTTTGATTCCACACCTTGAAGGAAGATACAGAGCAAACTTCCAAAGGTGCACAGATGGGAAGGATAACAGAGGTGGGGAGATGGAATCAGGAGCTCAAATGGTGTCTAAGTTTAAAAAGTCATGGAATGATTCATACTATCCTTTAATTCTATTTTTCCATGAACTTTTTGAAGTACCCTCGTATGCATAAAGCTTAGCAGCAGCACATGTAAATTAATTTTATGTCTTTAGTGAGTAGCAAAATGTAATAAAGCTTAAGAGTATGACGTAACCCCCTAAAACACTGCCGTGATCTTGGGCTGCATTAATAGAAATATAGATTATAAAATGAGAGGGGCGATAGTACTATCTGACTGTATCTGGAATTTCCTATGCAGTTTGTGGTGGGACATATTAAAAAGGATATAGAAAAAGTGAAATAAGTTTGAGGAGTGAACTCAGAATCCAGGTGGAATTTGAAATGCTGTTTACAGACAGATTGGAAGATGCTGGGAAAACAGCCGACTCTGGGAGCAGGAGATTCGTGTTCATGGGCTGAAAGATCCATTCCACGGCAGAGCAGTGGACTTTCTCTGTGTGGGCGCATGCAGCAGAACTGGGGCCCGTGGATGACTCAGCTACAGTTCAGTCTCAAGGGGACAGGGTTTTACTGAAAAGTACTCCGTGCTGGCTTCTGATCCAGGCAGAAATTAGAAGACACAGCCCTGCACTCAGAACTTCCCTCATACATAGTGGGGTAGTAAATACGTATGGTATTACATATTTTGGTAAAGGTATATATTTGTAGGGACTTTGGGAGGTTACAGAAGGTTTCACAGAGGAGGCGACGGAGCTGTGTCTGGAGGGTGAGCGGGAGTTCACTAGGCCAGCAGAGTGGAGGTGACACACGCAGACCTGCAGAATGTAAACTGCATGCTGTCGAGAAATAGCCAGCTCAGCACGAGAGGAGGGGAGCGTGGCCAGGCCTTAAATGCCATGCACAGGAGGTTAGACTTCATAGGCAAGAAGGGACGGTGGGACGATGGGACGATGGGAAGCAGTAAGTAGCATTAAAGATTAAGTGAGCAAAAGCTCTGTGGTCGGACACTCTGAGTCTCAGGAACTTGGTTAATTCCCAAGTGAATTTACTTTGCTCTTCTTTGTCTTTGCCTCTAATCCTCTTATGGTCATTTGAAAGTGTTCAGAAGAAGAGGGATCCGTTTTGGCCATCGGTAATCTATGCTCTCTGGGTGGGCTATCCAGCCCTGCTTGGGTCTGGAGCTCAACTCCTCAGTGGAGCAGAATAATGTGCAATGAACACCGCACAGACACCGGAGACTAAGTCTTTGAGCAAACACATGTCAGCATCAGCTTGGGGGAAAAGCCTCTTTGTTAAAATTATTCCATTAATTTTGCTCACTGGGGTGTTTTACAGGAAAGGTTTTGCCTTGTTTGCCAAGAGACAGTCACCAGTGTTGTGAAGGGAAATTGGCATGTGGTCCCTTCCAGCGTGCTGAGGGATGAAGTAGATGTATTCCTATGAGTGGCTGGAGAGCGTCACCTCTGGTTTTTACATCTAAGGTGTCACCTCAAACCTCTTTAGAATGAGTTGGAACATACCTCTAAATAACTAGGCAAATGCTCGTAGTGGTCAGACAACACGATGTTCACATGAGGTGCAAGTCTTGCCGCAAAAATGTCTAGCCTTGTGTAAGAGACAGTCATTCTCCTGATGGGTCATCAAATACCTAATCCTCAGATGAAAAGCCACAGCGGGCAGCCTGGCAATCTGCTACAAACTCAGTGCATTGCCCAAGATACTGCTTCCTCCGACCTCTGGGGGGTACACTCAGCAAACGTTAAACGTGTATGTCAGATGAATACAAAAGAAAACCACTAACTCATTTTTCTTCAATAAATGTCCCTCTTCTGGGACCAGAGTCAACTCCTCAGAGTCAGGATGTGTGCTGAAGTTACGGGGAGGAGGGGGGGTACTATAAAGGACCCTCAGCTGTACATTGTGCTGTTAGAAATCCTCCCTATGGAAGTCACCCTTTGGGGTAAGGTATTGTGCCTCCAGGAGGCCCTTGCTGAAACCAAAATATATTTCTTGACAGTTCATAAAGATATTTGTCCCCACACTCACAAGTGGGTTCACTGGTTCGTTAAAAGCATTGGCTGATGTTTTGGAAAGCAGTGCCCTGAGGGTCTGGGTGCTAATGCTGGAGAGAGAAAGGAGAGACACAGTCTGTTCAGGGAGGGACACGCTGTGTCAGGACATCAGTGACAAGGCTTGAGTTGAGGGCAGAGGGTGGTGCAGAGAACACTGGGTTGTGAAAAGCAGGGTCCTTTGGGAGTGGGGTCTCAATCAAACGCAGCCCATGACCCATTCTGTTCACTTGTATAATGAAAACACTTTTAAATATGGGGGGCCGGCCCGGTGGTGCACTGCTACAGTGCGCCACTTGGGAGCGCGGCAGCACTCCCGCCGAGGGTTTGGATCCCACATACAGACCGGCCGCTCACTGGCTGAGCGAGGTGCGGGCGCAACACCGAGGGTTGTGATCCCGTTGCCGGTCCTAGTCCGGTACGGGCACGACACTGAGGGTTGCGATCCGTTGCCGGTCACGAAAAAAAGACAAAAAGGAAAAAAAAAAAAACTTTTAAATATGGGATTCAGTGGAACTGAATTTCTTCCAATCGCTTCCCCTAGTGTGTGCCTGTGGGTTATGCGTGTTTGGTTTCACGTATGCCCAGGACTCAGATGACCTGGAAGCAAACATGAGCCGCTTCCCCTAGTGTGTGCCTGTGGGTTATGCGTGTTTGGTTTCACGTATGCCCAGGACTCAAAAGACACAGGAGCAAACATGAGTTCGTCCTTTTGAAAAAGAAATCTCTAAAGCTTCTTTAATTTCAGATCAGTTTTTAACAGAGTAAATAATAAACCGAACTCACTTAATCTTTAGTCCAGTTTAATAAGGAGCTGCATTCATTAATGACGAGGTTTAGAGAGAATACATATAGGAGTGAAGAAAGAACAGTTCCTCGGAAAGTTTAATCCCCCAGGGCACAGGCTCAGTAGAAGACGGTTTGTTGATGTAAACAGAGTTTACTTGGCTGAGATGCCACTTAGGTGTTTTTGTTTCTCAAGTGCGTTTTCAAGCAGCCGCTCTGTGATAAATAATGGACGCTTCCTTCCCTCCTGTGCCTGGGAGCTCTTCAGCCTTTTAGAGACTCTCATTTTGCTTGTGTTTTTTTCATGATGAAGACAATTCTTAACTCAGGTTAATAACAGAGTGGGAACAGGTCCTGGCCATGTGTCAGACGATCATAAGCAGCAACTCCGAACGGCTTCCCGATATCAACATCTACCAGCTAAAGGTGCTGGACTGCGCCATGGACGCCTGCATCCACCTCGGGCTGCTGGAGGAGGCGCTGTTCTATGGCATTCGGACCATGGAGCCGTACAGGTAAGTCCTGGGGGCGGTGGGGGGACAGGGCATGAGTAAAGGCAGAGGATCATCGCGTGAGGTCATTCTCATCACCGCCGTGTGTGGAATGTTCCCAGCTGCTTCCCAGCCGACGTGTAAAACCAAACCTCGTTTTATCCATTTACACGTCCACTGATCATCGTTCAGAGCGTTCCCTTTGTGCATCAGGCACTGTGGCTGTACAGAGACTAATTAGACGTTGTCTTGATGTGGAACAGATGATGACAGCATGGGGTGGTGATGGCATGGGCAGAGGCGAGCACAGGGTTCCAGGAGAGCCGGAGGGGAGCGCGGCTCAGACCTAGCTAGGGAGGCCCTCATTAGCCTCTGCTGGTCCAGGGGAGGGTGGCCAGTGTGCGGCCGTCAGTCTGGCTGCAATAAGGATGGTTCCTGCCATTGTCAGGCTTTGTGGCTCCCAGGGTGTTTCCCTTGAGTCATTTGCCTTTTTCACCACCTTATGACCAGGCAGGAGAGCAGGGCGACCGCGCTGCTCAAACGTGTCAACGAGTCAGGTGCAGGGACCATTGGTAACTACTTCTTGACTAGCCTCAGCTCCTCCAGAGCAGTGGGTGTTTTGCCTCTAGATGTTCTTGTAAGTTTGGAGGAGCTTTGGGAGAGAGGGTGGCAGTGAAGCTGAGGGCTGACAGTTTGGTGCTGCTGGATGTGGGGCCCTGACTTGCACTGGGCTAAGAACACAAGTCTAGAAGTTGAGATTGGAATCAGTCCACGGTAAAGGGCACAGAGACATACGGACCATAGTCTGAGGTTGGAATAGCCTAGTGTCCAGCACAGAATGAGGTCGCTGCTGGGAACGTGCCTCAAAAGCATCTGGGACCTGGGGAGATGGCGGGGAGAGGAGGTCCCTGGAGAATAGGGCTCCATTATGGGCAGACACTGAATTTCTGAGACTGCAGACCATGCAAACACAATGTTGGCCCAAAGGGGTAGGCAGAGGGAGAATCCAGGGCCAGACCTGTGCCGTGTGGGACAGCAGGAGGGGAGTGGTTCTAAGTGAAGGGACGGTGAGGGATGGAGGGGAGCCGGGGGTACTCCTTGGACCCACTTGAGGAAGAGCCTCAGGAGACAGCTGGGTGGGGAAGTCGCCAAGACCAACAGGACAGGTACAGAAGTGAGTCCGGGGTCTAGGATATTAGCTCTGACAAAGGTAGGAATCCAGGCCTGGGCCAGGAGCTTGGTGCAGGCAGAGAGCAACCGGGAGATGGCAGCGGTCCCTAGGCCAGCTGGTGACACCAGCGTGACCTTGAGGGTGTTTTCAGAACTTCTGTAGGTGGTTTCTTCCACTGCCTGTGGGTGAACAGCTTGGGAATGCAGACTGTGAGTCAGCTTTAATCAAACTTACAAGAGATCGCCTCCGGGGCTGAGGCTGCAGACTTTCCCAGGAGCAGGGAAATAGCTATGCAGGAGGATGCATCTTGTGGGTTCTCAGAAAACATGAATGGAATACAGAGAGATAAGGCTGCGTCCTTGGAGTGTTGCAATGAGGCAGGTCGGGATGGTTGGTGTTGCCTCTCCGAACCCCAGGGCTTGGTCTCGGGAAGCCAGACCTCATGCCACCGAGGAGTGGCTGGACTCGTGCTGGGAGATGCAGGCCGAGAAAACCCTCCCTGCTCCAGGCCCTCGGCAGCTGCGAGCCCCCAGCCCCAGCTGGTGCTGTGCCCACGCCTCCTGCTCCATCCAGGCTGCCCTGCCAGGCTGCTGGGAAACACAGAAACTTTAAGTGGGTCAACACCTTCCGTAAGGAAGGCCACACACCTTCAAGGGTTCCTGTTCTGCATGAGTGTTGAATCCTCTCTTCCCCAGCTACCTAGGCTTCTCCGAAGCAATAACTTACCTCTTTATTAACTGGCAGCTTGTTTGACTTAAACTTGAGTCAAACAAAGAGGACTTTCCGGTGACCAAGGCCACGTCCACCAGAATATACTCCGTAATGTTTGGGAGAACTGTTGGTTATGTTTTCATGGTGTTTGGCAGGTCACAATCGCTCTCTAAATGTGTACTCTGTTCTTAGTCTGGGTGACAAATTTCCAGGCCGCCCTCAGTTTCTCTTCCCTGGAACTTGTTTGGGAGTGGCTCTCTAGTGTTGTGTATGTCAAGAAATCCAATCTGCATTGATCCACACCAAACAAGTGAGATTTGAATGTTTGCTTTCAAAGTTGTAGTAGAGGAAGAGGCTATAAATAATCCAGAACCATAAAAGTTCAGAGAATTGAGAGGGGTAGATGCTGTCATAGTTTGCTTTTTTTCCCTTTAGCTAAAGCAAAGGTGAAAATACGGAACATATGCCAATGGGTCAGGTGCCTGCAAGCCCTTTAGCAACATCAGAGCGGGAGGTAGGAATCGGACGTTGGCAGTGGTTTTCACCCTTTCACATGTGCACAAGGGAACTCCCCCTGTGTGCTGAGTGCCACCTGCACAGTCCCCCTGCAGATGCTCTCAGCGGGCTGCTTGCTCACCTTTAGTCAAGGACACGGACAGTTAGCTAAGCATGAGTTACCGAGAGGTGACCGGATTGCCATCTGCCGTAACAGTTTCACAATGTTAATATACTTTTTGCAACACTAGATTGAGGTTGAGTCTCTGGTGATGAACTTGTCACTCCTGACCTTGGCTAAATTGTAACTGCTGACCTTAGAGGAGCAGTGTCTATATTCCATTTTTATCCAAATCTCTGTCCTCAGCTCCCTTCCTGCTACTGTCATTTATTTTTACTCAATAGATTTTACTCAGTTTTTATGATGCAACTTGATATTAGGTTTTTTATGTTGCGTAAAGCGAGTTGGAAATAATTCACATACAACAGATGTATAATCTTCAGTGTTAGCTTCTGTCTTCTGAGAGTGTCTGTATTTGTGATTATAAGCACATAGTCATCTATCCCTTAGCATTATGAACATTAAACAGAATGAAAATAATTTAAAGGTATTTGATAAACTTTAGTGAAACATTTAATCCAGTCTAATCTTTTTTTTTTTTTTTGTCTTTTGTCTTTTTCCGTGTCCGGCAACGGATCGCAACCCTCAGTATTGCCCCCGTACCGGACCGGGGACTGGCAACGGGATTGCAACCCTCGGTGTTGCTCCTGCGCCTCGCTCAGCCAGTGAGCGGGAACCGGTCTGCATGTGGAATCCGAACCCTCGGGCGGGAGTGCCGCCGCGCTTCCCAAGCGGCGCACTATCCAGTGCGCCACCGGGCTGGCCCCAATTCAGTCTAATCTTAACCATTAAGATGGATCAGTTTCCAAAAGTTAGTTTTTCAGTTGGTAGTTTAGGAATTGGAATGCATTTTCCTGTTGCAGAAGGTGTCAGATTATGGAGAAGTCCCCAGAGTAGACTAGACCATGAAATCTGCTGAGCCCATAATATCACTAATATATGCTATAAATGTCAAAAAAAAAAAAAGAAAAAACCACAACAACAAAATTGAACACAAATTGTTTTTAAAATTCAGTTTTATATTGTGTTGAATACTGTTTAAAGTTGATTTTCTTTAGGAACCAGAGAATGATAGGAGGTGAGAGAGAGGTTTTCTCAGGCTGGGAAGGGGACTTTCAGTAACATTCACACATGTTCTGTTAATTTACTTCAAAGAAGGACATTTTCAAAGGAACAGAAGGGTAAAAATCACCCTCACCTTCCAAACTCTTGTCCTCCTCCCAAAAGATAACCGTGGATAGAAGTGTCTTTCCAGAAATGTTCCGTGCGAGTGGCCAGTCTGAACATATTCCGAAGCCCCTGTGATAAGATCACGTTTTAGCAGGATGTGGGAGAGAGAATTGAAGGTGAATAAGTAAATGCTAACATTTGCCAGAATCTCATAAGAACATAAACAAGGGTTTCATTAGTAATACACCACAGTGTTTATTACGTATTTATTTCTTTAAAGTCCCCTCGTCCCCCATTCTTTTTTCTCTGTTTTCCCAGCTGCTGTCACACCGTCACTCAACTCTTCGCCCTCAAACTGTTCACATGGGTCTCCCACCTCCTCCTTTCTTTCTGCCTCTCCCCTTCTTATCTTACTAACTTGGGGGGCAGGGAGAGGGGGTGGGAAGGGAAAAAGGGAAGGGGAGCCAAGAACTCTCCTTAGTGGGCAGAGAGAAGGAAAAACTGGAATCACTCTGTACCCACCTTCTATTTCTTGCTTTTTTGCTTTACAACCGAATGTCGATATCTGTCTAGATCAGTTTCTGAATTTCTACCTCACTCGTTAACAGATATATAGTATTTCATCTTGTGAATGTACCATAATTTTTAGATCAGTCCCTATTGTTTTCCTTATGGTTACTGTGTCAAACAGTTCTATGATTAATATCCATAAACTCGTGTCTTTGTGTACTGATGTGACTACAGCCCTGGGGTAAATCTTGTATCTGATATATTCCTAGGTGTTAACTTTCTGCATCAAAAGTTGTGTTCACACATTCCACCGCCAGCATCTCATGGCCCTTACGATCTTATCTGCCTCCTCTTCCTTGAATAGCCTTGGTGCAGATAGTGGAAGGTGGCTCACGTGCAATAAACGTAATAGAGTGGGCCTCCGCATTGCGTTCAGAGGGCCCAACAGATTGTCCTCTCTACAGCTGTCGTCCCCACCCAGAGTTTTATTTCATCTTGGAGGCCACCGCCTTCCATGGCATCCCCTCAGCACTGAGCATCAGCGACAATCCACACATCCAGTGGTCAGCTCAATTGCACACTCCAGCAACGGTGGTGGCCCGGGACAGAGAGCATTCCCCAGGGCCGTAGGCAAGAACCTGAAACTGAGGAAGCCAAGAGCAGTGAGACAAATGTTTTAAAGGCACTAGACAAGGCAAGTCTTCCTTTAACGTTAATATCATTGCTGTCTGGCTGAAACCTCCTCGGGTTGAGGTAATTTCCTGGGTGGATGATACTACACAGTCTGACCTGTGACATTACCGGAGGGTATTAACTTGTCATATATAGCACCCTCCATGTACACCCATCA